AATTTTTAGATTAGAGTTTAAAACACACATTTACAAGATTAGGAGATATTAATTGGGGAAATAATAGAAATGCTTGTTTTTAATAGAATTTGTAATATAATAACAATGATGACAGTAACTACAACAATAATAACAATAATAATTATAATGATAATTATTATTATAAAGTAATTTAATATATATAATATAGTTTTAAAGTACAGGTTTTATTAAATCTAAAATCTAGCATATTGAATTTTAACTGTGATTTGGTATGAATATTAATATTATTAGATAACAAAAAATTAATACAACAAATTTATTATTATAATTTTGTTAAATTTTTAGAACGTGTTTTATATATTTAAACATTATTAATTAAGTTTAAAAAAAAATTAGTTCTTTCTACTTGGCAATTAGACAAGTAGTGATTGTTTTTTAAACACCGTGTAATTAAAGCTTCTTTTGATGTGATAATTTGTGAACAGTAAATCTTTATTATAGATAAATTGCAAACTTTTTAAATTATTTATAATATATTAATTATAATATATTTTTAGGAATACAGTATGATTTAAATTCAATACTACGTTGAATTATTATTTTATATAAAATAGTAAATCTAATAGTTTATGAATTATCGGACATTACAAATATTATTTTTTTTTTGTAGTTTAAAACATTCAAAGTAGACATAAAGTTTGTACACTATTTATAAAATTAAAATGAATTTATTTTATTTGTATATTTTGTTTGGATTTAATAAAATAATAACAACTACATACACAAGTATGTATAATGAAGAATTACTTTAGTCACTTTCGTATATAGTTTATGATAATAAATTTACACGTTTACTAGGATAAACAAATTTTATTTATTTCATCATCACGTTTCAATGAAAAGAAAAATTTTATTTATAATTTTTTATATGTATTCCTGTTTAGTATATTTCAAAAACTAACTTTTTATACTTCAACAAAATGTATTGAATGTATCATGTTCTTTGTTACCTACACTATTTTTTATTTGTAAATAAGAATTTAAATGATACTAACTTTCAATGTAAATTATGTTTAATGTTCATTATTACTAATAAAGGAATAAATTTAAATAAATAATGTAAGTGATTTAATATTATAGTTCCGTAGGATCAAAAGAATCTAATTAAATTTAAGGAATCCAAAGTAGAATATAATTTATTAATAGAAAATTAATTTTGCTGAGTAAGTTTTTAAATTATTATATACTTAACTTTTAACAACAAATTGAAATTATATTTTTAATTAATAAAGAATATGTTTAACTTAAAAAAATATTTAAAATTGAATGTGTGTAAACAGAATTTATTTCCGGAACTGTTTGCTTTGAATAAATCTGTAATATTGTACAAAAAGTACTCACAATTTTAAAAAAATATTATTATTTGTCATTCACAGTGTTAAATTCTTTTCCTTCGAGCATGCGCTTATAATGGTTGTTCGAGTGTAATTTATATTTATAATATGTAAGTCCGTAGTTCATATCATCATTCACGTTCAAGTACCGCGAATCTGTATAAGAACAATATTGTAGGCTTTGTATAACTCACTTGTCGTAGCTGTAAAGAATGTATATGGAAGTTATTAGTTCTCACGGCAATCGAAGAAATTTCCGTCGTCGATGCCGAAATTCGGCACCATTAAAGGTTCTTTTATGACCAGCAAACACCAAAAAATATTCATTCTCTGCTTCAACTGAATTACATACAGGAGACCGTCTATTGGTGAAAGGTATTTTATGAAGTTGGTAAATTGTATCACTTATTTTTGTATTAAAATTATTTAAAGATAAGGGTTATTTTAAAAAAATATTAAATTTTACAGCATTATATTTCGATTGGATTTGTAAATCTTGATTAAGGAAAAAATTTATAATGCTTGGTAAAAAGATTACATCAAAGAAGTATATACGTAAGTTTTATTATTCGAATATGTTAGTGAAAATTATTTTCATATTGATACTATAGTTAATATAATAAAATTTTTCATGAACTAATTTACACACTTTTGTTTCTGTGTTTATATAGGATTATTATATCTTAAGCACTATTTGTTGTATTGAAGTTTATTATTAAATACTAATGGTAAGCTATACATTGATTTATAATTATTAAATACATATGTATATATATATATATATATATATATATATATATATGATAACAAAATTTAAATTTTTAAAAATTAAAATAAATTTAGATAAATTTCATATTTTTTGCTATTGACAAGTCTTCTTTATATCATCAACTATAGCTTAATTTCAAATTATTATTATTCAATAAATATAAATATAGAAATATAGAAATTATATTCAAACTATTAATACAATTTCAAAGTAGTTTTAAATTTATTATGCATCTAGCATCGATATGCATCCATATTAAATCTAAGATAAATAAACTCAAGTGGTTAAAATAAAATAAAATAAACTATTTTTTATGTGAATATCAAAGAAAAATGTTGAAACCTCCTTAATAGTTTCATTCTCGTTATAATTAAAAATAATTAATATTATAGTGAATATAATAAGAACGAAGAAGTATGGCTGTTTATATTGGAATCAGTGAAAATTATAGGATGACTGTGTTCAGCTGGAAATTTAAAATTTTAAGATGATAATGTAGTTCCATACTTTGTATTTAGAAAATGAATGAAATCTGTATCGCTTACTATCTATATATATACAGTACGTGTATTGAAATCATTTCTTTCTAGTCAATTCGAGTAATCTTTAGACATTTTCAGACGTACTATATTCTTGGCATTACGCAAGGAAAAATATTGTCTGTTTTTGCATATACTTAAATATGAAGTTTTTAAAATGTCAATCTAATAATTACGAGTATTTTATACACATATAACAATAAAACTATTACTTTTTTCACATTACAGTTACTTTTTAACAGAATTATAAATGTAATTAAATGTGTAAGGTATATGATTTTGGTACTATCAATTTTAATTTTAAATTTAATGTGATTTTCAGTCTATATTATTCATAACAGTACTGCAGTTTAATTGTGTAATCAATTAGAATTATATTGCTGAAAACCTATATACATAAAATTATATATTAAAAATTCATTATATTATATATTGGATTTAACTCTGCTATACTTAAAAGAATATAGAACCATGAATTTCTTTAATCAAAAATTTTGATTGCAGTTTAAATTGCTGGACTAATTAAATATTTAATATGTTAGTGATACTAACGTATCAATACAATAAATAAAGCAAGTTACATAATAATAATTTATTAATTGGAAAACATTGATGTATTTTATATCGTGACTACATTATATAGTCACGATAGTATTTTGTAATTAGCATAAATAGAAAATTTGTTTTAATACAATTATTTTAAGAACAAACAATAAAAATTCAATTATGAATTTTGAGATAATACAAATTAAAAAGTTATCGTTAGAAAGTTAATTGGTTAAATCTTAAAATGATTTGAATTAAATTTTCTAAAATGCATTTATATTCAATGTAATAATAAAATTATTATCATTATCAAATTTTTTAATTTGAAATTTTTAGATTAGTTCTTACATATTGAACATTTAACTATATTTATATTTGGCTTATATTGAAAATTATATTTAACATTTTTTTAGGTAATTGCCAATCTCGGTTTTTAATTTTTATACTATTTGGAGCCTAAAATATTATTTATATATTATTGATTTATATATTATCTTATTGTCATTGTATTTAAAATTAAAATACTTATATTAGTTGAGAAGATCATAATAATTACGATGTGGTACAAAAATAGAATCATTGACAATATCCTAAGTACGTATGAAATTATATTAAAAAGTGTTAATGTTGTAATATGAATTTAATATCTAAATGAGCTTTATCAATTATTGTGTACTTAATAAAGTTGTAATTTTTTCGTTTTCTTTGTATCTTAATTTCTTTTAATTTTTTAGAATTTTTATTTCTCTTTCTAAAATGAATTTTAATGTATAGGCAGTTTCCGAGAACTATGGAAAAAATTGTTTGAAGGTTATATATTAATTTGCATTTTTGTATATTATGGTAATAAATTTTACAATTACAAAATTTTTTATTTGAAATCTTTTAATTTATTTATAGTTGATTTTATAATTATAGCATTCCAAATTGTTGTTTATCCTTGCTGTGATCTATGTACATGTAGTGAACAATTTAAGGTAGTTTTAAAAAACATATTTTTTATATCTAAAATTTCAGTATCTATTATTATAGATAAAGAGATATCATTAATTCTGAATAAATATTTTTAATGGTGAAAATTGATATAAAATAGGTGGAAATATTCGAAGCAGTTCAAAATGGAAACAACTCTTATTTACAAGATCTTACATAATGATGATATTTGGAGTCCTTCATTTATTTTTAGTATAATTGTTTCATTGTACAATTTGGAATCATCATTAAAACCATCAGAAATAGTATTTCAAAATTGAATTTATTGGAATTATTGTTGTCGATAGGGAACTGTAAATAAAATAAATGAAATACATAAAAATGAAATAAATAATCAATATAAATCTTATACACTTGTTATTGTTTCTCGTACATTTGAAAATTATAAATAATTATTTAAAACTTAATATAAATTTAATGTATTGTATTTTTCATAATTTGAATAATCTTTAACATCCATGTTTGTAAATAATATGTATATTTATAGTTATTATTAATACTTTTGCAATATTTAGTAAACAATCATTTAACATTAAAATTTTTTAATTTCATTCGTCACATTATATTACGATTTTAATTTATTGAAGAATATTCTTATTTTGTAGAAGTAAAATTATTTTTTAATAATTTAATAATTAATTTATATAAATATTTATTTAAAAGTATTACATATTTCTAGAAAAAGCTTAAATAGTTTTTATTATAATTTTATTACAAGTTGATATTTAAAATATTTTAAATATTATATAATTTATTAATTAATATTTCTAAATAATTAAAACTAAATAATTATGCGCAATGCCATAAAGCTATTCTATAAAGACAACAAATATGAAAAATAACAAAATATATCTATTATCATATGTAACGTGAAATATATTGTATATTATTCTTTGATTAAGAAACACTATATTTTCGGGTCGGTAGATTGCAATTTAACAATGTTTTCACTGAGCTCCCAGAACTTTTTACATTTGGCTGCATCGCTGACTCCCGAGGATAAACTACTTTCCTAAAAATGTACATATATTAAAAAATATATAAAAATGAAGTAATTTATGATAAATTTATTAAGCTTAAATCGATTAATAAGTGAATTTATTTATAGAGAACAATGTACAATGTGTATATGTATGAGCACGTGTATGAATCATTATAATATTTAGATACATAATATCACATTATAAATTTATTTGTGTACAGTTATATAAATTTGTGAATGATTTTCGAAATATGAGCTTCTGATTTAGCCATATGGCCATTCACTTTTGTAGTTATTTGTATTAAAAAAGAAAATTTCAAATCACTTGTAGACATAGACGATGTTTTAATTATTGTTTCTTATTTTAAATCTCATCTTTATTAACATCGGCAAGAAGAAATCGATACAGTGTATACAAATCTATGCTTACCTGACAGTCGGAGAAGTACTTTCCAGTGGTGTTCTTGAGATGTTCGGAGACGGCCAACTGGATGCTGGTCTGAGCGCCTTGTTCGGGTGTCTTGAAGAAGCTTTTGACAATTACTTGGAGTCCCCAGGATAGCGGTGCTGGAACATTACGCCAGATGCCACTATCGATCATTCCCGGATGCAGACAGTTAGCGGTAACACCAGTTCCCTCAAGACGACGGGCGAGCTCTAGAGTGAACATGATGTTGGCGTACTTGGATACGTAGTAAAGGTATGCCGGAAACGTCATTGTTGGGTTAATATTATCCAAGTTGAGGTTAGCCAATCGGTACAGGCTTGACGCCACCACGACTATGCGACTTGGAGCTGAGCGTTTTAACAAATCTGCAGAAAAATTGGAAATAAGGAAGAGTTGTGAAACTATCGTTTTCCATTTAGAGCAGTGAGAATGCAATATTTGATTATCAGAATCCATATATTAAAATAAAAGTTAACTTATGTATAATAGGGCTTTATGCATATATCGTTACTATATGTATCTATATAGAATCTATCTATTATAAAAAAAGTTATGAAATAAAAAAACTAAAGGTTAGGAAACAGCCTAATATTTGATGTGATTGAAAAATGCCTTGTAATTTATTAGGATATTAATCTATTTAATAATACAGTTTATTGATTTATTATTTTTTAATTTACACGAAGAAGTATAGAAGAAAAGAAAGTTAAATACAACTAAGAAATAAGCGAATAATATATTTTATACAATTTCAAACGATTTTTTAATGAAATTTAAAACAAAATCTAATGAATATATGAAAATATTAATTCATTATAATCTTATTTTAAAGATCTGTTTTATCTTATATTTAGACTTTGTAATAATGAGAGTAATTAGCTGTCAGTTATTTTTATATCAAGGAACGAATTCGATTATTCAATTAGAGAATTACTTATTTTTAATATTAAAAAATCTCAATTACTCATAAGAATAATAATAAATTACGTTCATATATTTTATTTCTTATATAAAATATATAGTATTTATATAAAATCGTTAAAAATAATTCGTTATCGTGATGTCAAATAATTATCGAAATATTTTTTTTCTATCATCCTAATCATACTATCATCTCTTCATTGTAATCTTAATTATTATATATGTCCAATTATAATTATATAAATATAACTATTATTATATAGAAGACATAGGATAATTGCAGATCGACTGAATATATAATGCAAGAAAGAATAAACAAAAAAAGCTGGAAAAATAATAGCTTTATTTATAGATGAGTACATAATACTCTGTTAGATGCTAAAGAGATGCTTTCAGTTAGACTATTATTTAGTAAAATAATAAGCGTGATGGTAAAAGGGGACACGGTTTGCGATTACGGCAAAAGGTATTTCCGTACACCTTACGGAAGTTATTTCTCCCTCACTTCAATAGAGTTCAAGGAGATGGGCGTTAAGGTGTTGAAGAAGAAGTGGATATTATGTAGGAACTAGAAGTAGCAACCACCATTTGAAGAATGATGAATTTCTAAAAAAATTATGGACTATTATGGTAATTAATGAAATCTTGTTTTGATATGAACGGCCATATTTGATAATGTAGTTATTTTTTAATATAATTACATTTAATATAATGTTTATTATTAGGTAGTACCACCAAGCATAATGTCACATGTTTTATCTTTAGTATAAATATAAAATTTATTGGTTTAAAACAGCATGACAATTGCGTGATGATAAAGGGCGAAGAACGATGAAAATAAGGAGGAATGAGAGCTTGTGACAGTATCGCGTGGTTTTGATCAGTAGCGTGACCAGTGATATTAAATTACATGGATGTATAAATTATTATAGATAATCTAAGAAATGAGTATCTAATGAAGTACAAGAAACAATAAGAGCTATTATAAAATTCGGAATAGCTGCTATTATCGATATATTATATTTTGTTCTTTTTAATCTATAAGTCTGTTAGAATTTGTATGTTATTTACATAATTTACAAACGTATGGTCATATTTATATGATTTATCAATGCACCATAATAAATTTTACATGCATAAATGAAAATTCAAACAGAAAAAGATAATTTTATATAGAGAAAATTATTTTCGTAGCGAAAAGCATAAGAGCTTCATAAGAATGAAAGGGCTTGAATTCGGATAGTACAAAGTAAAAAATTAAAATATAAAATAAATAATGTAAGACTGAAAGAATGTAACGATTAATTTATATGCAACCGATTATATTTTTATTGATTTTTCTAGACAATAAATCATACGTATCACATAAAATAAAGAATAAAAATAAATTTTTATTACAGAATTTTTCAATTTTTATTTTTATATATAACTTTGTGTATGATATCAATATCTTATAATTATAAATTTGAACTATTTTTATTTATTTAAGCAATTAATTCAAAGATCATTTTTAAACAATGTAATTTAATATAAAGATATTATTCCTAAATAAATTGGATTTGTGGCCTATATTTTAATGCAATTACATTTGTTTAGTTTCATAATATATATAATTAATATTCAATTTAAAAGATAAAAAATTATTAAATTTTATAAGAATATTTTATATTTCTTACAAAAAGTAAAAGCAGATATTTTTAGATTCGATTATTTAACGAAATGAATAATATTGAAAATTTTACTTATGGAATTTTACCATAATGAATTACTTAAAAATAAAATTTTATTATAATATGTAAAAGAATATATTGTAATGTATACAATAATGTGCAAAATATATTTTAATATTTTTCATTTTTGACTTGATAGAGTAGCAAAGGACAAGAGAAGAAATTTGTTTAATCATCAATTTGTAAGGATTGTATCATTATTGTAATTTATTAATGCCTAAACATGTGTACAAATATTGATTAAATATAATTATAATTTTTCATATTACTTTATTTTATTATTTGTAATTTTTTCATTATATGCAGGTATTGAATTTCACTGTTGGGTACGTTAAATATTAAAGATATTTTTATATGTTATAAGCATTTAATAAATTTTTTAACAATCATGAAATTTTTTATAATGATTTATTTATCTATGAATGAATCGAGGTCTTTATTTATTATTCAGCGCTTATGAGCATGTAGTAGAAAAAATTTTATGATATTAGGCATCCGAGTTTAATATTATTTTGCTACGTTGCAATAATTACCAATCAGAAGATGCGTCAATAAAAAGGGGCCGTAGTGATTCGTGGCCATGGTCATCTCGATGCCGTCGATGCTAATCTTCTTACTGAAAGTTTCTGCTGTACCAGCATTGTGTATCAGTACGTCTAACCGTTTCTCTTCGTTATTCACTTGCTTAACAAAGTCTCGCACCGACTCTAGGGACGATAGGTCTAGCTTATGTACGACAATTTCCTGGTTATCGCTCTCCTTTATTAGCTCATCTATGAACATTTTGTACATTTCGTTTAACATTTACAATAATTATATGTCAATTACCATTACAATTACAAATTTTTACCATTACAAATTTTACAGCTTTTTTAAAATACTATTTTTTAAATTATTATTTTTTTAAAGATTTTTATTATTTTTTACATTATTATTTATTAAAATACAATTATAAGTATAAGTACCAAATTTTTTCCAAATATTTTCATAATGTTCTTGAATTTTAATAATATTTAAATAATACTTATTTTATAAAGTATTCGATCGTTTTAATGATATTGATTAATTTTTATTTTCAAATTGTAATATGAAATCTTATAAATTCCATTTACAATTTATTTGTTGTGTTAAGATATCGATAAAATATTTACAACAAAAGTAATAACAAAGTATTAATCTACAGATCTAATAATGTAAGCAGCATTAATTCAGAAAATTAATTTTAATATACATCCTCAAAATTATATATTGTACTATTAAATTAAAAAAATTGTTTACTATTTCACAGTTTATTGATGCTTATTTAATGTTTATATATTAATAAGTTAATTAATATGTGTATATAAATTATAAGGACTAAAAATGTTGCCTATAAATAAATAAATATATATATATATAATATATATATATATATATATATATTATTTTACTAAATTTTTATTTGTATGTTCTTGATTTAAGCAATTTTTAATTACATTGGTTCTTTAATATTTTATTTGCAAGGTGGTATCTACATTCGTTGAAACAGAATTTCGTTCATGCCTTTGGAAGTTGATTCAGAAGGAAATATCGTCAGCCAAAATTTTGCAAATACATACAATTATATTTTAAATGTATTAATATAAGATATTACGTTTATTCAACCAGCGGATCTCTTTAATTATATTGCATATAAAAATGTCGCATAACTTTTTTTATAATCACTGAATATTCATATTATTAATATAATATATACATATTACTGAATTTGACTAATATTAAATAAAAATTTCCGTTGTTTTATAAAAGTAAGAAGGCTAAATTATAATATTCGTAAGTAATGAATCATAATTTAATGAAACTTCGACATCAGAACGATAATGAATAAATATTTATTATATTTTGTAATTGATTTTGTTGTCAATGGTTAATTTAAAAAAAAATCACGTTTAATTTTTTGCTATTTGCAGTGCTAATAGAAAAAAGTATATCAGAAAAAAGTTATAAATCTAATCTGATTCGACTAATATTGAATTGAATTTTTCATATTTTATTCATTTTAAAGTTAAACGTTAAAACAAATATCGGAATCAAATTTTTCATGTAATTGGAATATATTTATTAATTAGAATTATAATAATTAATGAAAAAATAATAACACTATATAATATTGTATTTAGAATTTAATATATTTTTTTAAATCAATGAAACATGGAAAGAATTTATTATAAAAATTTTAAATACGAAAACTGCTCCTATATATAAAAAGAATTGCATTTTTGTTTAGTAGTTTCGGAAATTGAGAGATATCTTTATTATGTAACAATATTATAACAATATTATCAAAATAAGCAAGGTTACTTCTTATCAATATCATTTTGTTGTTATTGTAAATATCGTTATTATTTATTTAAAAGTTTATTTTTCAAGTATTTTTTGATGTATGGAGGATAAATTTTTATTTATACGTAAAATTTCAATTGTTTTTGGTAATGTAGTCTTAACAAAATATACATTATTTGATAAGAATGGCTTCTTCTGCCTATTCTACTAATTATACGTGCGCTAGTCGGTGTTTAGAATTGTATTTATTTTGATAATTTTCTTATACTTGGATTATCTTATAATAGAATATCTTAGAAAAAGTTCAATTTTATTAGCTTTACAATATGAAGATGCGTGAGTTTTATATTATTATTATATATTATTAAAATTTTAAATAGTTTTTGAAAAATCAATAACGTTAACATTTGAAGAATTTGCATTGAAAAAGCCAAAAGAACATTATTTGATTCGAATAAAGTAATATTTGCATTTAGGAGGAGATGTTTTAATAAATGATGAATCGTAAGTTTCATCATGAAGAGCCGATTTAGTGAGTAGTATTCTTACAAATTTGCGCACGTGAAATTTTCAGATTCACGTATCGAATAAAATATAATTTGCAATAGCAGTAGATATATAAGATATATAAATTCAAACTGGGATACAGAATCTAGTATGAAGTGAAAGTTGGAGAAGGCGTGCTAATAGATATGTTCAATTAAAAACATAAAAAGCCGAGGAATTATTTTCGCATACTTCGAAGAAGATCGCACTATCGCTGGCCAATAAAACGCATGTGCGGAACGCACGCGAACATCAGATTCCGCTTTCGTGGATCGATTTTTCCATTAGCAATCATTTAAAGTGGCCTACCTTTGAGCTTGTTGGCCGCTTCGACGTTCCTACAGGCCATGATAAGCCTGGCGCCGCGTTTTACGAGATTCCTGGCGGTTTCGCGGCCGATGCCCGACGTACAGCCGGTTATCAACACGGTTTTGCCCTTCATGCTGACCTTGCTCTTGCAGACCCCGGTACTGAGGTAAATGTAGACCCGCAGGAGCAGTAGAAGCAAAATAACTCCGCCGATGATGGTCGCGGCTACCAGCAGGCATATTATCGAGCATGTCCAAATGTTTAGAAACATCGTGCTGCCTGCCATTGAGTAGGTGATGATGATGATGATGATGATGATGATGACGAATATAATGGAAGCAATTGATAGGGACAGAAAAAAGAAACCTACATTTTTTTTCTATTTTTAACTTATTGCCTCGCTATTCCCAAACAATTGTGAAATGCATTGTTAGCTAATCGAGTCGTCAGCTCGTTGCAGAATCATTATTAAAAATAAAATAATAACCGAGGTATGTAATTCTATAGAATGTAAGTCAAGAACTTTTACTAACTGTATTTTTGGGATCAGATTTTTTCTACGTTAATGAAAGTGTACCCGAGTCATCAGTTTTTTATTTCGTATTTGTGTCACTGTAGATTTCTCAATCGTCATATGCAATATTTATGAATTAAAGTAATGATATACAGAATATTGTTGTAGTAAATTATCTTTATGGTGACTTTCTCTATTATTGAAGAAAATTCAGTATAAGTATTCGTTGGTATTTTCTGTCTTGCATTTGCTGAAGTATTATATTTTTTTATTACACGTAATATTATTCATTTTTAATTAGAACTAACAATGTACGAGGAGAAAAGTTGGAATAAAATTTCTGAGTTCTGAATTTTCATACTAATTCAAGTTTTATATTACCTTCTAATTAATTAATAGTAAGTTAATTTTACATTGATATATATTTGCACTATGTTTCTATGTGTTAAATATTACTAGATGCAAGTATGTCATATACATTTATATTATCTTAAAATTTTCTAATAATATTTAATAATTATATAAAAAATTAACTACAAACAAGTTTTTTTTTTGCCTAACAAATCTATATAACATAAATCGAAGTTTATCGTAATATTATATGTAAACCGTGTGCAATATAATTCGTAAAAGTACACAACTAACATTATCGTTTACCAAAGACATCGAGCTTATTAGCAGCCATAGCCGTAAATATTACTTGTATGATTTTTTTTTAATTGTATGTTTCACGAAATGTCATCATATTAATGTATTTGAAAATACATATTTAGCGGTTTTTCATATACAAAATTATGGACGAATAAGCACATGATTGTAATAATTAGGTATAGATTTTTTAATTATCGTTTTTGAAATTTATTTAATCGTTTTAAATTTATTTAGTTATCTTAAGATGCAAGTAGTTCGAGGGAAACGGAGGAAGAAAATAGTGGATGATTGGTCGTGGGAGCAAAAGCAAATGAGAAAACTCACCGGACGGACACTCAGGACTTTCCAAACTTTCGAGGCCGAGATACGAGTAATCACACGCGCAACGATCTAACGACAACTGTGTGGATGATTTGCAGCCACAGTCAAGGTAAACGTCGGGAACCGGTTTCAGGGTATACGCCGGTTCTGTAGCGCACGCGCGGCCATTTTGGACATTTCGTCCGCTTTCTTTTACGAATTGTTGGTGACACGCAGGAGGTTTGACCGGACATATCTTCGATTCACGCGTAGCCCGTTGAAAAACAAATATCCGGTATGACTTGGGAGTGCTATGATGGATTTATGATTCAGGCAACATTAGATTTCTTAATTATATGAATCAACGTATGAATCAACTTACAGTGTGAAATTTGACGTTTTTATTTGTGTAACACGAATTTCTCAGGGCATAATGAAGCAACTATCCGATTTAGTGAAAGTACTAATAAAAGAACTCTGATTATTGAATCTTAATATTTCTTCTTTAAATATTTTGCAATCGTGTTATTTAAATTTATTCGTTAAAATGTTTTAGATAATCGAATCATTTACTTTCAATTAAATATCTATTTCTAATAGGATCTTTAACGTTTCAAGAAATATGATTTGGTTTTATATTGTATTTTAATATGTAGAGAATTTGTAGGAAATAGAATAAAAATCTTTTCTTTGAACATTGTAAAAATAATATAAATTATCAATTGATCAAGTAATTATAGCGTATTAAATGTTATATTTTATATAATTTTAGAATATAGTTTTTCTAAAAAGGTTAAAGTATATCTCATGTATCTAAATCCTTTAATAACAAATGCTAAATAAATATTACATTTTATATATTGTTAAAAAAATCTTAAAGGAATAAATTTCAATAATTTACTTTGATAATTTTTCTGTTTTCTATTTTTTTATCTGAAATCTAATTTTTTTTCTGTTTTTTAAAAATAATTACTTAAGAAAATTTATTATCAAATTTATAAAATATCGAGTCAATCTTTTTTTTTTTAAATTTCGACGTGTAAATTTAGGATAGATTAAAATTATGTTTTATATAAGTAAATCCAAAAAGATATATACTATAGAATTTTTTTTACAAAATGTTACTTCTCAAAGAATTCAACAAGTGGCTCAATTATATAGTGGAACCGCAGACAAAAGAGGATGCAAATTAATAAAAATATCGGTAATGTAAGCGTGACTTACGTTTTCGGTTACTCTCGTGATTGTTGTCGATGAGCGTCTGCTCACGTTGGACTATGCGCGTGCATTCAACTTGCGGTATCCGCGCGGTCCTCGTCGAGATGGTGAGATGGAGAGACAAATACGATTAGTATATCCCCCACCTGATGATGTTCCAGGACTTACCATAGACGTGCTCGGAATCGAATACGTGGCGCCACAAGATTAAGTGCATTTGACGTTTTTTTGAAGGATTTTTGCGTTGACTGTGCTTACAAGCTAATATCGTAGAATTTTAACTCTCTAAAATGTCTTTCCAATACTTTATATCATTTCTCGAATATTAGCAATTGGAAATCTAACTACCAAAATTGATTAGACATACATTGATAAATTTGGTAGACATACGGACAAATAAACGAATGGCTAAATAGATAGATATATGTAATAGAAAGAATAGAAAGAAAAGCATGCCGATAGAGAGGAAGGGGGGTGCTCCTCTTTGCCTTTGTGTATGCGTGCGTGTAAAGATTTATATAAGCGTTAAAAAGAGAAATTTCTTATTTTTTAAATTCTTTTTGTAAAAAAAATTCTGTAATTTCTGGAACTTGAAGTTCTCCGACAATAAAGAATTGCTTATTTTCTGTGATTTATAATCTAGAATTATACAATGTTAGAAATGTGATTAAATTATGTCCGACAGAATAAACAATAATATTATTAATAATGAAAATTGTAACAGCCTTTGCACTTTTATATATATAATTTTTATAATATTCTTTTAAAGCTGTTTAAAGTAATGTCTTATTACATGATTATGTCAAAAATAATTTTGAACAATTGACTTAATTGTTTTTAAAGTTGAAAACTAAATTGATAACAAACTTTCATTCCATATTTTTGAACTAATATTTGGCATATTTTAAAAACTTTCTAAAGAAATAATAATTTTTTTTTTTAATTTTATAATTGATATATTAATGAAATAATTATAAATAAAAATTAAGAATTTACATGAAAATATTTATTAATAATATTAGGACTATGAAGTTAAAGATAATCTAGTTATATAGAATAATTATATACAAGTAATAGGAAATATAACTCACAAACGGTATCTTTAACCTATGTACAGTACACATTTGAGTGAAATTTGGATATTGATTGTATTGTAATTGCATTGAAATGCAAGTAATTTAAATTAAAACGAAATCGTTTGGTTCCGTTAACTTACAAATTTTATGTCATTTAGCATCTAAATTTTGCAATACGGTGAATAAGCGAATACTAATTAAGCGTCATTGAAATCATCATTTGGCCAACATTCTTGCTTAACTTTAAATATATTTTAGAGATTAGAGATCTGGCCTTAAATTCTAGAGCGTGAGAGAATACGACTGGCGTATGAATATTTTAATTATACGAATAATCGAAAATTGATATTTCCATTCGTAATCGATGGCATTGATATGAGAAAATTGTTCCACTATTCGATATTCCTATTTGAAGAAATATTTTTTCTGTGAAAGAAATTTGTTTATGAATAATTCGAATTTATGGCGATAGAGTGAAACTATGTAAATGACTTGTTGTATTTAGGTTATAGATACAACAGCAATTTCCAACGAATGTATTAATACATCGAGAATGAAAGAATTTCTAAGTTATTCAAATGGAGCTTTTAATATAAAAAGTAAATGCATAATTGTAATAGACTTCAATTTTCATTTATTCAAATAGATAAAAATCCAAATAATATATATATATATATATATATTTGAATAAATATATATGTCGAAATTACAATTAAATGTAACAAAGTAAATAAAACTTATGATGTATAAAACAGTTCCCCTACTTTTCAGCGGAAAATGTTTAGCTACCGATGATAATACAATAAATACAGCAAGTTATGATTATTCTTTTTCATTTTATTTAATGTTTATTACTACATCTGTAACATTTTCATATATTTTCTGTGCAAATATTTCGAAATATATTATAAAATAGAATATAAATATATTTTTGGTAAAAATATTTTTTAATATATGGAAAAATGTTGTTATTGGTTTATTTACTTTACAATTACTTTTACACCACTTTAAGATACAATACTGAAAAAAATAAATAATATTTTTAAAATAAAAGTTGTTGTAAAGCTTAATACTCGATTTTACGACTATTAAATATTTTATTTATTTCTATTTATATAATGTCTTCCTTTCTGTTCCATAGAATTAGATATAAAATGAAATGTAATATTAACTTCAAAAAGGAATGCAAATCGTTGACATAAATTGTAGGTCAACGATGACTTAGAAAGTTACTTTATACAGAAAATATATTGTGGAAATATCTAAAAAAAATTTTATAACGTTTTTGAATGCTTATTAAACTAATCATTATATTCAATATAGTTACTAGTAAAGATGTTCATCAATAATATTTTAACCAAATTTCTATTTATGCATATATAAGGCTACCATTTAGAAATAAAATTAATGTATTAAAATATTAATTATATAACATATTAATATATTAAAAAATAAAATATTAAAAATTAAAATATAATCTTTGATAAAAGTTTTCAATAATAATTGTGAAGAACTATTTATGTTAAGAGTAATAATTTTTATTGTTTAAAATTTTATATTTTATATATTTATACAAGCAATTTATTTATTTCATACAATAAGGTAAATTAAAACATGAAAATAATTGATAAATTTTTTAGAAAAAAATCATAAAAGCGAAATATCAATAATAAATACGATATAATTAATTATTTAACATATAATAATAATATATGTACATGTGAATAAACATATAATTTTTGTTAAAACAAATCGGATGCATTATTTTACTAATTATCTTGAAAATTAGTTGGGCAATTACTATTAAATTTGCAGCATTGACAAATTAACAAATTTAACTGATAAATTGTTATATTAAATTATATTATACCGTTCTCGTTAGTTTATAATTTATGAAGATATACTACATATTATCATAGTCAGAAATTCGAATATTTTATTGCTATGAAACTAGTATTCTATTGAATGGTACATTATACTGTAGTAACACTAGGGTATTTGTACTATAATTATACTAGGAACGGCCAAGCTCTATTAATAGAGTGGATATGAATAAGGACTATAAATTAATTTTAATAATTGCACTTTCAATTTTTTAGTAAGGTTTTTAAATGAATTTTAAATGTATTATATACCTATTGGATGGCTGCTCTTGTACATAATAATATTTAATTTATTCTTCAAATTTAAAAACATTTATAAGATTTGGGTTTTATTCGCAATATATATTTTTTAATATTAATATTTTAAAAAATGTATTTAACAATTTATTTTAGAAATATTTCATACAATAACTTTTAAGAAAATAGCAACTATCAATTCGTATATTTCTAAATAAGTTACATTGTAGTAGCATAGTTTCAAATACGAAAACATTATTAACATTTTGTACTTTAAATTTTTATATGGAAATTAATAATATAATATAAATTTGATTTTAAAATGAATAACTAATTTTATAATCATTGAATTATATTTTGAAGTCTATTATCTTATTTTTTAATGATTAAGATCAATACAAAGTTGAAAAATTTATTTTTAAACATATTATTCTATCATAACACTTGAAATATTGTTGTATTATTGAAAGATTTGGTAAATGATATTTGAATACAAAAAAAAATCGTGAATTTATTAATTTCGAAATTATTAAATGACACTATATTTATAAATCTATATAATTACGCCTGTAATTAATAATCTAACTGATAATCGATTATATCGAATATTACAGATATCTAATATTGTACATACGTGTGTACGCACATACCCAGAGGCGATTATATATAATATATTATATATAATACAGAGATCATTCGTCTACATATACATATACTGTTTTAATTATCTGGTATATATAGTATTAGTCAATGAAATTAAAAAATGATCTATTATTACTATCATATATATATTACATATATATATATATATATATATATATATATTATTGTAGTGTAGTAAATGATTTTTCTATTACGCTTTTCATACTATAAAGATTTTCAAATTTTCGCTTTTTTTATGCATAAAAATTTATTCACATTTAATAATCTGAAAACATTATCAACATGATATACATTGTTAAATACTATAAAATGAGAGTATAAATATACAAAATTTAAAAAAGAAACATACTTTTATAGGAGTGAGTGTTCTTTGTTATTCTTTATTATTTATTTTTAATAGAATAATAAAAGTTAATATTTATTTGAAATTATATCATATTAATGCTCTATTATATATAAAATTTTATTATCTGCTATCATAGGGTTATGATGACGTTACTTGAAAATAAATTTTTATTCTGAAGTTATTTTAAAGTTTGTAAAAATATACTTATGTATTTTTAACTATGTAGTTTGTATTATTTAGACAAGACTTTAAAGTTTGATTGAACTTTTTTCTTGAATCTATGACAAAAATGAAAATTATAATTTTTTTGTTGGTACCGTTACCTCAATTTCCATTGAAAGATAAAAATTCACATAGATAGGTAGAGAGAACGAGTGAGAGCAAGACAGTGTAAAGGAGGGAGATGACCCTTTTTGTAACGTTCACTAAATATATATTTAAATGAAGTATAATTTGAAATCTGTTTATTAAGTATATTTTGTCTAACTTTTGTTGATAAAATGAAATAGACAATTTCTTTAAAATGTAATGCCATAAGTGAATTTTATAATTGTACAATTATTAACATGATTTTTGTCATCAAAATGGGCTTATGATAGTTACGATTTCTTTTCTTTTTTGAAAAATTCATGGTTTTCATCGTTTGCATTTATTTTCATTTATTTAAGAAGTATGATTAAAAAAAATTGATAATAGTATTGAAATAGCAGTAATTTAATGAAACTGCTTTAATTTCTTTACATAATTTACTGAAACTAATGCTCTACGTTTTGACTGCGTGATGCGTGGAAGCGTATCACAATTGATGAATTTATATCATAATTGTTGCATTTATAAGCACTGTTAAGTATGAATATAATATTCACAATGATTGGATCTGGACTCTAGTTTTGGAACTACAATATTTTCATATCAATCGTAATATAAAAATGAATGTTTTCAAGTTAGAATTCCTAAAAATTTAATGTTATTTAATAATATCATTTAATGTTATGAGTAGTATTTCATTAAACACATAGTAAAAAACTATTATTAAAAATTATTATAAAATACTATAAAATGATTATAATAGCATATTTTGTGTTGTCTTAATTTTGTTGAAACATTTTATCATAAAAATCTTATTTCATATTTTTGTAAAAAAAATGGCGAATGAGAAAAAAATATTCAAAGTGTATTACCTATATTAAATGTTATTTAGATTTTCCATTAATTAGACGAATACGAATACGAATACGGCATTATAAAAAATATTTATTACAATAAAATATATAAAATTTGTAAATATAAACTGTAATACATAACTATCAAAAGAGACGATAGGCTTATATACAGGTGAAATTTAATATTTCATATTTTTCTACAATTTCCGCCCCATACAGACGCTTATAGCTTAGAAAGGATAATGAAATTGTTAAAAAATAATGAATAAATTATGGCGTGTGGTAGTTGTTGTGACCGGTAAGAGTCCACGTCCTTCTCGTCATTTGCTTTCCTTAAATTTTGCCTAGGGCATATTATCTGCATCTTTGTCCGAGTAACTAGGAAAACGGAAAACAGCAATGATATTGGCCCCTATATTTGTGTACGCGGCCTCCTACGCGGTTTTGTTATGTTCGTCGATGTGGTGTTTATTTTAGAAATGAAAGGACTAAAAGTTTCTGGTGTATTCTGCTTCAATTGACTAGTGAGTGTTGTAATTTTTATATTTTTAAATTTAAGTGCACCTTCGAGGAAAGAGATCTTATAGCAAAGCGTTTTTATCATCTCAGATTTCATGCGCAGATCTTGCAATGCTTGCGTGTATGATTTTCGTAGGTTCCTTTCCTTGGCAGAAGAATTTTCTCCTATGTGAAAGAAAATTTGTTCCTTAATTGTTATATCATCATTTTTTCTTAACATATTATATTTCATGTTGTTTATTTTTGCTCTATGTTATAATGTAATCAATATGTTGTATTTTTAATTTTTAAATAGTTTCATTTCAACATAACCAATTATGTATTTATCCAATATTTTTTAATATCAAAAGAATCGTTGTTCTTGACTTTTTTTAATTCTACTTGTTTTAAATTTAAATAAAATATTAATTTCTTTTATTTATATTTGAGTACAAACTTAAGTATTAATATTCATAAATATAATAGATAAATTTTTATGCTTTATTTATTGCAAAAATATCTCTAATATTATTCATAAAACTAAATTTATAAAATTAAAGGTTATAGCTAAGATAAAAAATTAATTTGTAGTATTAAAAGTAGAAAGTATTTTTAGTTTAAAGGATTATTTTTCATTAACTTATTCTATTCTCTTTTATTTAGTAGATTATTTGTTTTACCTTCTGGCTGAATTTTGGAAGGTATCGTCGTTACTTTTTTAAGAGTCATTTGTTTACTAGAAAACCATTTCCAAAAGCAAATAATAGATAATAAGATTCCGAAAATAGTGCCAAAAAAGTTTTTTATCCCATGATACATTCGAGTGCATAAGTACTTTTGGTGAGAAGGTAGTTGTTTTACTGTTGTTATTTCAGCGTCTGAGTCATCTGCGTTAAACATATTATTGAACAGAATAATTATATTATAATGGAAATCATTGAACAATTAATGAATTAAATTTAACAAATAATTTTCAATTTAATGTAAAATACTTAACAATGAAAATAACAATAATTAATTTTTAGAAATATAAAAGCGAACATACTATCTAAAAAATATTTAAGCTACTGATTCGGATGTATTTTTAATCTTTCAAATTTCTAGACTTTTTAAAACTCAAAACCTTCAAGCTGATTTATGCTCTACTATATAAATATTATTACATATATACAATTAATTTTAATGCACTACTAAAAGAATATCTAACCAGTTGGAGTAACTTCTGCTCCACTATTCCCTACTTTCTTTCTCAACATCTGCTTCTCTCGGAAATCTGCAAGAATTTTGTCAATCACACCAACTTGTGAGTGCGCCAGTTGGTCTATCGTTTCTGGGCTTAGAGTTAAGTCAATTTTAGAGAGAACCTTTCGGTTTAAGGTATTCCAATTTTCTTTTTTCAGGAACACCCCACTAGCTGGTATATAGTTATGTTTTGTTACAAGACCCGGATAATAGTACTTCAAGATTTCTGACATGAGGACTGGAATATTAAAATTATTTAAGTTTGGATTTAGTTACATTTGAATCTTCTTATCAAATAAAACGATTTATGATATACAAAATGTATTAATATTTCATATTTATAAAATGGTATTTTAAATGAGAATCTATTATTCTTACATACTATACGGGAAAAGCAAATGATAATAATTTAATAACAATATACTATTAATCAGTTAATATTCAATTTTCAATATGGATTTCTATCATATATTTTTATTAATTTATTTATAATACTTGAATACAATAATATAGCATATTGGGTTATTTTTAAATTGCATTTAGTAATGTACAGTCGAATTAATAATTTATTAATAACATCCATAAATTTTAATTAAAAATCATTTTTCATTGAACATATGAAATTGTATTAGTTAAATAAAAACATTCATTTAGGTACCTGCGTCAGAAAAATCCCGAGCTAAATTTTTCGTAGTCTTCGATAAAGGTAAGCCATCAACCCACTCGAAAATGTCTTCGATTCTGGCTGGATTTTCACTATATACCGATATATTATCACTTTTATCTGATATATGGCCATCTTTATATAACTCTTGCGTTATAGTCATCTTCACAGACTTTTTAAAATTGGTTATAAGATCTCATAAAAACCGAATAAATCGCGTTTTATTTACTAACTACTAAGTTTAATACAGCGCAGGAAGAGATTTTTACCTCATATTAGAACCCCTTATTAATCCATTTAATATTATTTCTAATTATATAAATATACAAGAATTTATTATTCTATAAATATATATTTGCTTCGAAGTTTGCGAAGTTAATCATCGAGTCTGTTTTATTTTTTAAAGACGTTCGAATATGTGAATTTTAAGATTTTTATAAAATATGCATATAATTACGTGTAATTAATTTTTGTCTTTTTATATATTTTTATAATGATCAATTTTTTAAAATATATTCATGTATGTAGTATAAATTGTTTAAAATAAATCATTGTATAAAATAAGTTTAACATAAACTAAAAGACTTTTTCTATTTAATATTATCGTAATGAATATATTCATTTGAGTTACAAATAAAATTTACCAAATTCAATTTAATTCAATACATTATTAAACGAAATTTCAAAATTTTTAATATTATATAAAAAATATCCAATATATGTATCTACAACGAGCCATAATTATACAAATATTCGTGTACATTGAAAAAACAATATTACATCTCAATATTATAGTTTTTATAATTCGTTAAAAACATTTCTTCAAAAATATGTTTATCATGTAATAAATTTAGAAAATTATAATTATGATTAAATGATAATGTATTGTTTAAATTAATAGATATAATTGTCTATTACTTATAATAAGTATAATTAAAAAATATGCAATTAATTTAAAAACCTTTTAAAATATTTAAAACAAGTATAGATTAATGTGTGGGCGGGTAGTTTACTTGAAAAAATATCATATAGGTTAGGTGAGTTTAAGTTTATCATTGGGTAATCAGTAGCACCAAGCCTGGGGTCTTTAAAATTAGTAAGGATATAATTCAAATTGAATATAATGTGTTTGATTCTTAGTTATTTTTATGGGAAACGAGTGTAAAAACTAAAAATGTCATGGATTCATTTGCAAAATTGCTTTTTCCATTGGTGCTCAGTGTTTTGAATTATCCTACGTGATTATGAAAGTACTTTTAACGAGTTTTAAATTTAAATACATTTTTACATGTATTTTTATTACTTTTATAATTTCTTGTTTGATTAGCATCGCTCCAATTAGTATAGGTATCAACAATTTATATTATAAAACATATACATAAATATGCCCATTTTTAATAAAAAAAACGAATAAATAGACCATAGAGTTACATCTACTTTAATAGATTTTTGAAAGTGTCAAATTACACAAATGCTTCAAAGCTATGTCCTTCCTTTCATGATTTATATTTTAATATTTGATATAATCTTAAACCTTTATCTGAAAGTCATAAAATATAAATAATTTTAATTGAATTTTATCAATTACTAATATATTGAATATATATATTTTAATAATTTTAACTACTTTATAAATTGTTTTACTTATTGTTTGCAGAAGAATGTAAATGTAATAATATAGATAAGATTGATTTACATGAACAAAATGTGAATAGAGTAGCATCCAAACACCACAAGCATCATTTAGCCATATTAGTGCCATTTCGAGATCGCTTTGAAGAATTGTTAATGTTTGCTCCACATATGAAGAAGTTTCTTGATAAACAAGATATAGACTACCATATATTTATTTTAAATCAGGTAGGTATATTTATGGACTAAATAATTTTGGATGTAAATAAACTTTCTAACAGAATTTATAAATTATATTGTACAAAATTGTTTAATTTCTTTCAATAATATAATTACAAAAAAGTATTTTCAATAAAGTAAATCAAATACATTTAACTTTTGTAATTATATTTATTACCGTATCTTTATTTCAAATAGCAAAGTTGTGTTTAATTATTTTTTCAGATAGATAGATATAGATTTAATCGAGCATCACTTATAAATGTAGGTTTTTTAGAAATTAAACAAGATTTTGATTATATTGCTATGCATGATATAGATCTCTTACCAATGAATGATGAGTTACAATATTTTTATCCTGAAAATGGCCCGTTACATATTTCTTCACCAGAATTACATCCAAGATATCATTATCCAACTTTTATAGGTGGAATTTTATTAATTAATAGGTAAATATAAATGAAACATAATAAATTATAATTTTCTAATTACAAAAAGTTAATAATTACAAATTGTTACCATATTTTACATATTTTTATAATCGTAATATTTAAGTAAAATGAAAATTATTGATAAATTTTATGATTGTCAGATTTTAAATTATTTTATTTTATTTTATTGAGTATTATTCAAGTTTTAAAGCATTTACATATTTATTATATTTATTATATATTCATTTAATTTATATTGATAATTTTCAGAAAACATTTCTTACAAGTAAATGGAATGTCAAATAAATATTGGGGATGGGGGCTAGAAGATGATGAATTTTATGTAAGACTGAAGGAAGCTGGATTAAATATTACACGACCACCAAATCTTCTAACAGGAATTCAAGGCACATTTAAGTGAGAATAAAGTGAATTTTTTTCCAATGATATAATATTTAACATTGTTATAAAAAGATTAATGTTAATATTTCAAACATAAAATAAGGAATTATTTACTATTTGTATTTCTGATGAAAAAGTGTTTTGTTTTGTTCAACTAACTCATCAAGAATTTTAATGTTTCAGACATAATCATAATAGAAATCATCGTAAAAGAGATATGGTAAAGTGTTTCAATCAAAGAGAAGTTACTCGAAAACGTGATCGGCAAACAGGTCTACATAATGTGTCTTATAAAATAGAAAATTCAATTAATGCAACAATAGCAAGTACACCAATGACAATTTTAAATATTTCATTAATGTGTGATGAGTTTATTACACCTTGGTGTCAATGTGATACCAATAATGTAACAAAGGATAAAAAGACTAATGATAAAAAAATAAAACGTTAATAAAAATTATATGTATTATATTATAAGTTTACCTTGTTTTTATGTATTAGTTTTAAATAACTTATATTAAAAAACTTTGTAATTACCAGTGATTTATAAATTAAATTATAATTCGTTGTATAAATATACAAAAGTAATTTGTATTCAGTTTAATTTTAATTTTAATGCAGAATTTTAATAATTAGAAAACAATTGTTTATATTTAGGGGGATTTTAATTTTAATTTATAATTAAAATACCCTATTTATTTGAATTACCTACTATCAAATGAAAATCGAATAAATTATTGAATAAATAAAAAATATATACAGAATAATAAAAAACAATTGAATTAAAAAATTGTTAACCTAAAATCGTGTTCCCGTTATTTTTTCATTATAATTTTCTCTAATTTAAATAGTATTGTAATTGTACATTAATTTTAGATTTAACATAAATATAAAAAATGCCTATTCCTCCTGATGTAGTAAAATGTTTCAAATACATAGATTTACAAAGTAAAAATTTTATCGAAGAATTAAGACAGATTATAAAAATTCCAAACGTGAGTTCGAATCCGGTAGCAAAAGGTGATCTAATAACTATGATTTATTGGATGTCTAATCGGTTAAAACAATTGGGTTTTCAAACTCAATTAAAAGAGCCAGATTATGAAAAATATAAGGCAAATGATTAATATACTAATAAATGAAGTAAAGAATTCAGAATTTCTATATATATTTAAACATTTTTAGGGAAATAAACCATTTATTATTATAGCGAGTTTAGGGAATTGTCCAAAAAAGAAAACACTTTTATATTATTGTCATCTCGATGTATTAAAAGTTTATGATTCAAATTGGAAAAATAATCCTTTTGAAATGATCCAAATGGATGGAAAATTATATGGACGAGGTACTGCAAAGATGAAAGGTCCACTACTCTGTTTTATTCATGCTATTGAGAGTTACGTTAAAGTAGGAATTGAAGTACCTGTAAACATAAAAATAATTTGTGGTAAGCATAAAATAGTTATTAAATTCTTTTCCATAAGATGTCAATAGAAATTATTAATATGAGAGCTGTGATAAAAATTCAATTGAGAATTACAGAATGTATATATATATATATATATATATATATATATATATATATATATATATATTTTTTTTTTATCATTAACATTATTTAAACTATTTTAGTAATTATTAAATTGAAAATTATAGATAATTTAAAATGATGCAACATAAATTATACTATAATTTAAATTATTTTTTACTTGAAATCTTTTGTAATATTCAAAAATTTTTTAGTTTTCTTAATTTTTTTTAGTAAAGGCCTTTGATTAAATTCTCGAATAAACAGTCCTAACATCTAGACTAAAAAATATTTTATTACGCATATTATATAAGTAAATAGATAATGATTTAATTAAAATATACTTTTTATTTTATAATTTTTAGTATCATTTTTTTTAAGATTAAAATTTGTTCCAAATTATTTCAAATTAATTTAACTATTTTAATGGTTGTTGATATATAGGAAAATTAATTTTGAAGTTATGAAAATTCATTATTCCAAATTGTATAAAATTGAAATAGATTTTAAATAAATTTAATTTTGTCTTATATAATAGAATTCAATTGATGTATTATAAATATAAGAATTTTAATATTAATATTATTCATATGTTTATATTTTAAAAATAGGTGAAATGTCGTATATGAAATGGTTAAAGTATTTACATAAAGTTACTACCTAATGGGTTGTATGATTTATTTTTGAATTACAATTATAGTTATTTAAAGTAATACATTACGAGGAAAGAATTAATATGGTACGTTATTAATACAAACGAGCATACCTTATGATGTATTTAATATTTGAAACAAATTGTATAAATAAAATTATTATTCGTTTTTAAATGTCATAAAAATACTTTTTATTTTAAAAACTTTCTGAATATTAATATCAAATTTGATAAAAAACTGTTATTTCGCTAATATTTAGTATTATTTTCGTATCATTAAATGTCAAGGCCTCGTATTATTCCTAGAGAATTTGAATGAATGCAGTCATGTAATAAGTAAATGCAGGCTGATGATACATAATCTTCATTTCAGAATCAATGAATGAATGTAGAAGTAAAGGACTGGTAAGTATACTAAATGAATTAAAGGCAACCTTTCTTTCAAAAGTTGATTGCGTGTTGCTAACCGACAGTCACTGGCTTGGCAAAGAATATCCGTGTATAATTTATGGCACAAGGGGTGTTTGTTATTTTAATGTGATCATTGAAGGTCCAAATCGGAATCTTGATAGTGGTAATTTCGGGGGCATTATCTATGAACCCATGCAAGATTTATTGAACATTATAAATGGGTACTTATCACACTTTTATAACTGTGAAGACTATTTCAATATTATAGAAGATTCTATAACTAATGAATTTGAAATTATTTGTAATTTATTGATTTATTTATATAATCAATTAAATGTTAATGTTTTTATAATTCAGATATAATAAATATTATTTTCATTTTAAATATATTTTGAAATAGTTTAATAGATTCTTCTGGACATATAAATATTCCTCATTTTTATGATGATGTTGTTCGAGTTACGCCCGAAGAGGAAAAAATATATGAAAAGATCAAAGTTTCCGTTCATGAATACAAACAAAATGTAGGTGTAAATCATTTCGGACACAACGAAGATATGAAAACGATGTTGATGCATGTTTGGAGACATCCTTGGTTAAATTTACATTATATTAAGAGTTCATGCGACGATTGTAGTACTTTAGATATACCTAGTAAAATTTTCTGCCGTTTTTCTATACGGTAAAAGTTTAATATAAGTTTTATTCGTATATTTTTTAAAATTCTAAAGTTTTTATTTTTGATTCTTGCTGAATTACAAATTTCTTATAAAAAGCCATTTATATATTATTTATTCACTGCTAGAACTAATAGAGTGTTTTAATTATATATTTTAGTATTGTACCTAATCAAAGATATGAAATAGTATCAAAGTTGGTCATTGATTATATTCATGAATTAATAAAAAAATTAAAAACGCCAAATAAAATTGTATTAGATATAGAAAAATCTTCAGATCCATGGTATGAGGATAATCAACATTGGAATTATCAAGCTGCTATTGCAGCAACTAAACAGGTTAATTATAGTATATAATAAATAATAATTTTTAATGTTCTAAATTGAAAATTCGTATTATAATGTATTTAATTGCACGGAAAGTATCTTGCATGAATATTTGATATAGGATCACTTTTCTCATAGAAACCATATTTTATTTGAATATCATTTAAAATATTATAACAAACATTCAATTTTAATTAAATACTCAAAATAGTATATAAAATTTTATTTGTAATATATAAGTTAAATATAATTATGTTTATTATTAAAAATGGTCAAAAATAATAAATTATTCGATTGAATAATAAATATATTTGATAATATTATTTTTATTTTCATGAATTAGTATAATTATATAATTATAATAATTCGTACATGAAATTCTGTGCATGAAAATACTTATTAACTTACGTTTGACCAGGTTTATAAAGAAGAGGTAAGTTTGATTCGCGAGGGGAACGGTTTTCCTATTCTTTTAAATATCCGCAACGCGCTTCCAAAACGCAACATATTAATGCTACCAATAGTTAGTTGCGAAGCCAAGACTCATACCGAGGAAGAAAACATATCTTTACGTTGTTATATCGAAGGCACAAAACTTCTGGCTAGTTATTTATATGAGCTCAACGTAGTTTCTACACAGTTATCATTAAGCATGAAGAATCCACCTAAAAACATTTGTAGAAATAAACTAACAGATTTTAAATAATGTTGCCCTTTCCATGAACAAATCATATATTTACACGTATATTATGTACAACTTTGCGTTTTAAATTTACATATTTGAAAATATATATTGCATACCATGCTTAATGTCTTAGTAAACAATATTTATACAAATTTTTAGAGGGATATAAAAATAGAACAAGTCATGATGTTTAAAAACTATTTTTCGAAGACGCTTTTTCATGCATGCTTCTTGACAAATGTACGTTTTTGTTTATTATTGTTTTTTTTTTTTTTTACACAATTTACATAACGGATTAAAATATTTTGTAAACAAAATTATACACGAATAATATAGAATACTATAAAGAATTTCCAAATTTAACGTAATCACAATAAGGTTTATAAGAAAATAATGATTTTTATTTAAAAGTGTACAATGAGATAGAATAAACCAGGCTGTTAACAAAATTTGTTAAAAAATAATATTAAAAATGATAATTGTCTAATTATATAGACTTTTAGGCTTGAAATTATTTAAATATTATTTTTTTAATCCACAGTTAATTTAACATTTTCATTTAAAATATAAAAATTGGTGTATAATTTATACATGTTTTATAACATTATATTGCTGTACAATACTTACTTAATATTTTATCAAAGTCTTTGGTGCTTACCAAAATTTTTAATTTGAATGTACAATGACTTTTGAATTGTTCACTAAGAAAAAATATGTACAAGTAGATAATTGTACATGACAATATTCGATTGCATATACATATATTAATGTAAAATTTATTAGTAATCAGATTATTTATAAAAGAATTTGATTGCATAATGGATTAGAGATAAAGATTAAATGTATTTTTAAATTAATAATTATTTAAATAATTTCTATATTAATTCTATTTCTATTCTTGTATAAGAAAAGATTATAAACTATATAGTTTCACTTCTGCAAAAATTAATATATTCAAAGTTATTTAAATTCATTTTGCAGTCAAAGTCTTACCTGATTACATATAATTATACACAAGCTCTATTTAATCAGAGTCTGAAGACGTTATTTAATACAAGATTTTTCTATTATAAAACATATTGAACAACTCCAACTACGTTGTACTATCAAAGTTGATCATGATATGTTTTTTTAACTCGTTTAAATTGAAATCTTCATTATCACTATTTTCATTAAAAATATCCTGTACAGTTCCTATCACAGTTTCACCAGGTTCGTTTAGGAATTCTGGATCCAAATATTCAATATTTTCCATTTTCTGATCAGTAGATACAATTTCAATATTGGTATCCGTTTTCCCATTTTCCAAAGAAATTTCTTCATTTGTTTTGTAATAGTTAGTTTTATCAGGATAATTTCTATTCAGTTCTTTTAAAGTTGGTAAAGGAAATTTATAGTTCAATAATTTTTGGTAACCTTCTGTACTACAAATCTTTTCTATTTCTAAAGCTATTTTCAAAGAATTTTTTGAAAAGTTCTGATTAGATTGACAAATAAGAAGTTCATCAAATATGCTAGTTGTTTCATTTAAAAGTTTTTTCCGTCTAATAAGTGCTTGCATATTCAACATTTTTTTTCGATAATTATTTGAATTTTTTTCTGCTCGATCCAGAAATTTAGAAGCTTTTTCGAGTTTCCAATTCAATTCTTTTATTTGATTATCTCTACTTTTAATTTGACATTCCAATTTTCTACGATTTTGACCTTCTAATGTAACAGTTTTCATAAGTTTTTTATTAGTATCTTCTAGAAAATCAAGTTTATTTATTAAATCTATTTCATTTACATCTTTTAAATCAATACTTTCATTTTTAGGAGCTTTTCTTTCTAATTGTGATCTTTTTATAGCTACTTTACGATTTAGCATTTCAATTTCATTATTTTTATTTTGTAATTCTTGAGTTAAGGCTCGTATTTTACGATCCATATCTTTATACAAAATCAACTGATTTGTTAATTTTTCAATTACTTCTCCTTGTATATTTAATTTAGCCGTCAATTCATTCGAATGCTTAAAGCTATTTGAATTTTCACAATTAATATTTTTATTACTTACAGGCTTATTAATAACAATATCATTTTTAAATTTTAATTGAATATCATTTTTTATTATAGGCTTGCATGTATTATTTGTTTTATCGGTGTTTAATGTCATGATAGATGAAATGTATTTTGATTGCTTTGAAATACATTCTATAGAACTTTCGGTTTCCAAATCATTTATAATATCACTGACATCCTCTGTGAATTGTGTCTTATCTATTCCAGAAGCGTGTTGACTAGTTTTTAGATTTTCTTCATTTGGGGATTTTGCTTTAATTTTTCGTTTACGTTTTGTTCCTATTCTTGTTGATGTTACATTAGTTTCAGTTTTGTCATTCGACGTTTTTTTTAAATCATCTACATGTTTTAAATCTTCTGACTTAAATGTATTTCCAGTTTCTATTGGTCGATTATTTACATTTTTTGGAGAATCTTTATTATTGTTTGAAATATCAGTTTCATCTTCAGAATTACATATCTCTTTAAGTTTTCTCTCTATTTCATCATAATCGTGAGCACTTAAACCATTTTCTGATACTTCTTCCTTGATTTCAACTTTTATTCCTAATGTTGATGCTTTATCAACTTTTGGAAAGATTTGAACATTTTCTTTTCCTCTTTCATTGTCCAATAATACAAATCCATTTTCATTTATTATTTTTCCAATTTCTCTATTATTTTCATCAGCTACGATAATAATATTCTCATTTTGTAAGTCTTTTAAAGCATCTCCTGTTACTAATTTAATATTTTGCAATATTTGTCCACTGACTGATGAAGCATTCTATAAATATGTAACAAATTTTTATTGTTATACAATAATAAAAATTTAATAAATGTTACGAAATATTACATACAGTTGATAATTGTTGAACCAGATAACAATTGTTTATTTTCTTATAAATTTGTTATTTATGTAAATGCAAAACTGTTAAAAAACGTAATTAAATACAAATAATTGAATTTAGTTAATGATATCAATAATAAATTAGAATTTTCTTTTCTTTCTTGAAAAACTATATGTTAATTAAAGAAATTAAAATTTTTCTATCAAGAATGATAGGAATAAAAATATTTTTTTATTAAGCTTGCAAATTTATATAAAAAATGTCAATTTGTGTTTAAAAAAAATATTGAGATTGTGTAATCAAAATATTTTAATATTACTTTTATTTCTGTCAATTTATTTTGAAATATATTTTATATGCGAACAAGATGTAAATATAATATTTATTTACCTGAGTTTGTACATTTATAATATTTGGCACAATTTTTTGATTATCCATATTGAAAATAAAAGGACAATCATTTTCTAAATATTCTACTTCATATTCTTCTAAATCTTCTTCTTCTTCCGTTAATTGTACTCCTAATTTTTGCCTTTTTTTTGGAGATTTTCTTGTAGAGGTCACAGTAAATATGGATGGCAGAGCACCTTTTTTTAATTTAATTCGTCCACTTGGTGTGACTACCCATTGATTTGGTTCAAAGTGTACATGGCATAGAAAAGAATTATTAGATGGTTCCCAATCAGCTCGGCCTACTCTTTTTTTCCAGATGTTTCTTAAAGCTGGGTCACGCGGAAAACACTTCATTGTATAACCCTTTTCACTTCGATTATTGCAACCAATTGCCGCACAACCAGGCATTTTAAAATCTATAGTTATGAAGTTTAGGTACTTCCTATACCTTTTTTCATAAAATAAAGTTTAGTTTTGTAGCCATTTTTTTATTCTACCTGAAAAAGTATTTTTGTATATTTAGTAAAGAATAATTTCAAAATGACAAAAAATTGGGTATTTTAAACAGCTTTTACTTTACTTATCAATTTTAATAATTAAGTTTTGAATTTTGCAATCTTTAGTACATGAACTTATTAAGTAAATATTAAATTTCAATATCAATTTAATATAAAAAAAAATATTAATTTCAATATCTGCATACCTTATTTAAATTTTTAATGCCATATAACAGATTCAATTTAAAAAAATTGAGGTTTTAAAGAAAAATAAGTAAAACTAATTACTTAATAATATATATTTACTTATAAAATAATTAAGTCACAGTTTTCCTTCAAATTTTAATTTATTTTTAGAAGTTTGTAATAAAAAATAATACAATTAAATCATGGAATAACATTTTTCAATTTTTATTGAAACAAAATTTGCATTAAAAATAATTTTTTAAATTTTAATTTATATTTTATGCAAATAAAAAATTTATTTTATAAATTTAATAAAAAACAATTTATAAAATTACTATATTTCAATAAATTGAATATTTCAAACATTTTTACACATGAATGGGTATATTAATTTTTAAAATATATACCATTAGTATTTAAATGTTGTAAGTAAAAATAAATATACTAAAATAAGATTATATAAATTATTTTCTTTATAAATGATTTTTTATGAATATTTTTGTTGAATGTATACAATAAAAATAAAAAAAAAATTTGAATATAATTTAAATAATTATCAATTAAGATTGGATATTAAATGGCAAAAAAATATTAAATACTTACTCTGTTAAAAATTATCTTTCAATTTTTTAAAGTTACATTGATAAATAATATTACTGTGATAACAAAATTAATTTACATAATGAAAACTTTATACATCAAAAGAATAAATGATTGAAAACAAAACTCCATGCTATATCTCGTTATTAAGACGCAGACGCGCTAAACCTAACCTGTAATCTAATGTCAATTCATTCTTCATAACCTTAAATTTCGTTGATTGTGCCTGCCATCTGTTTTTTAACAAGTTGCGACACCTGCACAATTTCTTTAGGGTTTGTAATCGATAAATAAATATTTTTTTTGCTTTGAAAGTCGACTATTTTATTGATTCAATGGAAAAAAGTTTGGTGTATTTATATTCAAATAAGAGCTGCATAAAATATCAACAACATTGAAATTCAATTATTGAAATAGTAAAAAAAATAGATAGAATATTTATTAAGAAAAAATCATTTATTAAACCGTAATATTCCTTTATATTTACATAAATTTTAAGTTTTCCTTTATTATAAAAGCTTATTTTTTTTTAATTCATAATATGTTTTCTTTTTTTACTGTTGTAGTCTTTACAAATTAAAGTTAATTTGTTTATCTTCATTCATAATGTATTAAACTCATCACAATTTCAGATAAGTACAAATGAGTTTTATGATTGGAAAAACATCATTAGATAAAGATGTGGCAGCTTTTGATCAAATTGCAAAAACTATAGACATTTTAAGAAACTTGCAAATTCAAGACTCATTAGCACCTGATGATTATGAAACAAAGTAATTCCTAGATTTTATTTTTATTAGTTTTAAACAGCTTATTATACTATTAGAAAAGTAATTTTAAGAATTATATTTTTGAAACATTGTTTTAAGGTTTGAAATATAGATATAAAATATTTATTTATATATTCATTTGATTTTAATTTTAATTTTAATACTTACCATATATTTTTTATTAAAAATTTTGTCATTTCATATTCTTAGGAAAAAAGAAAAAATTGCAAATTGTTTAGTATTAACAAATGGTGTTACATTATTGAATGTTAAAACTGTACCTCAAATATTGAATCTCTCTATCGAAACTTTACTATGCTTATGTGATGATTCTGATTCGGATGTTAGGACAGTAGCGGATGAATCCCTTAATAAAATAATAAAGGTATTATGTTTATTTATAACTATATAGTAATAAGATTTTGACTAACAAGAATTTGAAATTTAATAAATATTTGATTAAAATATGTCATATTATATTATTGTTACTACTATTTATCAGATATATTTTTAGTTCAAAATATAGATCATAGTTTTTTAAAAGAAACAGTAATCTTATGTTGTATAATTTTCGTAGGCAATGGATAATAGTTATATTTTGAAAGTACAATTTTTGCTATACCGTGAAATTAATAGAAATGGAGCACCCCGTTGTTTAAGAGCAGCATTATGGCGATTTGGGCTACTGAGTCATTTAATTAGACCAGTGAAGGTGAAAGTATTTGCTTTTAAATTGATTCCATGTATTTTAAAAATTGTTAATCGCAAAGAAGATGTTGTAATTGAAACTCTCTCACAATCTTTACCATTAATTTTAAAAACACTGGGTCATTACATACCCGATAAAGATATACAGGTACACAGAGAATTTATATTGTTTAAAAGAGATATAACAATATGATAACTAATTTATCTTTTAATGCAGATATTACTGGAAACATTGTTTAAAAACTTTGCATCTAGTGAAGCTATTCATAGAAGAGCATCAGCCAATATGATATTGACTGTTTGTTTAAACTCTCGTAAGCCACAGCAATTTTTGAATTATGTGATTGAACAGTTAATAGGTAAATTATATTACTAATTAAAACTACTTGTAGGATTAATCAATATATTTATAAGTTTATTTATGTACAAATATAAGTATTTTAGATTTGTTTCTTATCATTTTACATTATTTTCATATTATTTTATTAGATATGTTGTTTGAAATTGCGGAAGGAGATACTGAGATAGAAGAAGTAAAAGAAGAATGTACAAATAGAGTTTTTGGTGTCTTTGCCTGTTTAAGATTAATACTACCATGTATTGATTCAAATTCAAATTTAAATTTAGATTTTAATGAAGACCACATCCTGGACTATTATATTTGTATTTATAAGCTTTGTTTATTTTATGCAGAATTATATTCAAATCATAATATGATAAATGCTGCACTTGAAACGTTAGGACAGCTGCTGCAAAATCCACCTAAACATGTTGTAGTGGCCTTCTTATCACCAGAAGGAATAAGTCAACGAATTCATAAATTGAAGGAGAGAGGAGAGCAATGGACAAGCAGAATAAGCCTTTTGATGACTGTGATGTCTGAGGATAATTTAGAATCTAGTTCGAATCTCTTTGAATCTGATATGGATATTTCTAATGTAGCTCCAAAAGTTGAAGATTGGATGACTAATGTTAGAAATGATATACCAATTGTGCATAAAGCACAAAGTAATACTAATATATCGGATTCTAGTCAAATTATAGAAACCAAAGATTTGGGAGATTATAGTAGCCTTATTATTGGATGTACAGGAAGTAAGCAATGTAAAATTTTTTCTAATTATGAATAGTTTCAACTAAGTTAAGTGAATAAAATTGGATTTTTTCTTTTAGATGAAGAAATGGATTTAGAAAGTAATGCAAGTAGTGATGTCGAAAAATTGGAGAAACCTGTCGATATTATTTTACCTTCTAGTGAAGATACGAAAGAAGATGAAGATTATGAAGAAACGTCTCTGCCCTCAATTTCAGTCCACGAATTTACTTTTGAACAATTTATGTCACAACGTAATGATTTAATGATTGGCAATATTATGGACAATGACGTACCGTTACGCTTTTGTTGTCGTTTCATAGTATCATCCTTCTTACTCACTGGTGTCTCGGGTGAACTTATATCTGACAAGTACTTCCGCGTTAGTGTAAAATCATTGGCACTGACATGTCTTGGTAATGTTTTCAGGCTTTATCCTGACATATTTTTTGAAACGGTTGCAAAAGTGTTTAAAAGCTACGAACATGTTAAAGATAAGCAAGTAATTTCTGACATTTTAAAGTTCATTGATCACTCGGATCCTCAGATTAGGGGAAATGTGTCGATGATTATTGGTTGCTTATTGCAGGGTATTCTTACATATAATAAAGGATATTTTCATTTGGAGTATCCTGATAGTTCCATTACGGTGAAGCATCTCATTAATTTAATCCTAATGGTATTAAATTATAAAGTTATTGTCCATATTTTTATTTTTTAATGTATTAAATTTTTTTTTAATTATTTAGGGACTTGAAGATGAATCTGCAACAACTTGTCACCATACGCTGAATGCAATTAGTATATTTTTACCTAGTCTTTTAGAATCTGAAAAATGTGAATATGCAATACCAGTTTTGAAAGTTCTTCCAAATCTAGTGAAAAATCCGTATTTTCTCGTAAAAATAAAATTAGCCGAAATTCTTAGTGAGTTGCCGTATACAACAATTGAACATGTAAATAAAAAATTAAAGTTCCAAGATAGTATACTTAATGTTCTGCTAAAACTACTAAGTGACTTAGATCAAAGAGTTCGGAAAGCTGCTAGTAATGCCATTACAAAGTTAGTAATTTTTATAAAACTCATTGAATTATAACAATTGTAAAATAGTTACATAAAACTTATTATTATAAATTTAATATTTCATAAAAGTAGTATTGATTATTGTGTTAAAAGAAAAATTGATAATTTAATACAATATTAAGTTTTAATTAGAATTATAAAATTTTATTTTAATTTTTATATTGATTATAAATAATTACAGTTACAATACGAAAATATGTAATTTTGTCAATTTATCAATCTATCGTAAATGAAAGATAAATGCTAAATTCTCATAGTTGATTTTTTATTTATAAATTTTGTTTACACGCTCTATTTAAATAAATAATTCATTATTATTGCAGTTTGTCATAAGCTATCATTTATTAATTATAGAATGTAAAAAAAATTTATTATTTATTTATCATTAATAATACAGATGTATAAATTTATATGTTTATTTCTTATACGTTTATATTCCAAATATGTGTAGTAAATTTTAGCTATGATAAGCAAATTTTGATAAAATTTTAAAACTTAAATTTAAATATTATAATATTTTGTAAAGAAGGACAATCTTGTTAGTC